TTCCGATGAGAGGAGCCACCCCTCCCCCTTCCTGCCCTGGAATATTGTGTACGGAAGTACGTATATATCAGCCAGTCAATCGCATCTCTTGCAGCATAGATCCCGGAAACCCTCAGCACATCCGACATTTGTTGTAGTATCGATGGATTACTGAGGTGAACTCAGCGGTACTCTGTAGGGAGTAGTGACAGGTAAACTGTATGCGGGAATGAGAAGAGTAAAGCAGAAGGAAAGGAGAGAAAAGAGCAACAGAATAGGTAACAGAGATGGGCCTGGTGTGCCGGCTGGGCCATAATTGTGTCACTCCTGTGTTCCCCTTTCATAAGAAAATAAAACAACCACAGCTGCCCCTCTACTCCGTGACCCCCCTCCCCCCCTTCCACCCCTCTTACCTCCTGGTGTGTCGCTTTCCTCCAAGTCTCTATGATCCATCCTTCCAGCTGCTTGTCCAAGGGCCCTGGTCAGTTCTTGATCGTCTTGCTCCATCCAGTCTCACTTTATACCACTCTATCCCGTGCCTTACTGCGTATCCGCTCTCCGTAAGGATACCTTACAGACCTTACTCCGTACGGATACCTGTGCAAAAGTGAGGTGAAGTAAGGTGGCCAGCACTTTGATTTCTCGACAAACTTGTCACTGGATTGTCACCACACCCCCGTCGTTGCACTCTGTGTATGGCCTTTTACCCCCTTGGTCCCTGTTTTCTTGACCTGTCCTCGACTTGTCAACTTTGGGGTCCCCGTCCCCGTGCCTGTTCCAATCCCAATCCCCGTCTCATCCTCGTCCGAGTCTTGAGTATTGAGAGTCTGAGCCTGAGCCTGAGCCTGGAGGTGTCTCGACGCTTGCTTTAAACACCACCCCCTCCCCTCCATCCTTTTCAACTTCTGTTTTGTAACCCTCGTCTCGTCCAGCGCTCGCTTCTCTTCCCAACCTTCTTCACCCCGTCCATTCTTCTTCTTCTTCTATTTCTCCTTCCCCGATACCCCCCTCTCCTCCTTTTACCGGTTTCTCAAAACCCCCCCGCGCCTGGCCTTTTCTCCTCCCGACGTCGCAGACCAAGTCTCTCGCTTTTTTCTCAAACAAAACAAACCACAACCTTCTTCTCTCGTTGATTTGACCTGACGACCCGACGGACCTTGCGCTACTACTTTTACTACCAGCTTCCACCCCGTAGTCTACTCCGTCTCGCGCCAACTAATTAATACGACCATATACCCTCTTCCGCAAACCAAAACTCAACATTGGGCATCCATCTACCTACCCATTCGGTTGACTCGAGAAAAGAGAAAGACAGAAAATACTTTTCCGCCAACTAAACCCCCCGCGGGCCCTGATTCGATCTGAGACTGATCTGCTCACTTTTCTGGACACCACCTGACACACGAGCCGACCTGGTCGACCCCATTGTCTTTTGTCAATCAGTCAATCCGTGCCGACAACCTTTCCTAGGCACCACTAATTTTGGGCACACAATCGGCCGCTGCGCATTCCACAGCTCCAGCTCCTCCCCGTCGCAGTCCGTCTCAAATCAAAAGAGCGGCCAGCCAGCCAGCAGAAAAGCAGCAAAAGCAGCAGCAAGCAACTCTGTCTCTTTTCTTATTCCTACAACATTTCGGATTGTTCCGTCCCGCCGCCATCTCTCACCTAGTCAGCCAGACCAAGCCGCTTTCCGTCTACCCACGCTCCGACTTTTCACGGCCCAGCAGCAATCAGCTACGGTACCTTGACCTTTAGAGGCCTTACCTTTAGAGGCACCACACCATCACCTCCACCACCGCCCAGTGCACCCACAACCCGCCAGGCTAATTCCTCCCCCAGCCCGCTCTCGGCCATTCTCGTAAAGCTCAAAGCGCAAGCTCGAAGCGTCAATTGCTGCGACTCCGCGCTTCGCAAGAAAGGGCAAGAAAAACAAGGACAAAGAGTCGTCCACTGACTACTCACCAAAGTCACTGCCACCAAGTCTACCTTAGCCGACAAACCAAAAAAACCGACTTAAAGTCGAGTCCTCTCGCTTCGGCCTTGGCGACCCCAATCCTCTGACACAGAAAGAGTTGCAGTCGCGCACCTCCTCGTCAAAAGTCAGACGTCGACAACTCCATCCATCTCGACCCATTTAAAACTGGAGCATCGAGCAAGGGAGAATCGCGCATCTCAATCACCCAGCGTTTGACGACATCGCCAATCCGCCCTCTTACTAATTTACCAACGACTCGTTGCATCTCGATCAATTCTGCACGGGTTTTTCATTCTCCGAACTTGCATATCGGCAATCGTCAAGCCAAGTGAGGCTCCTTTTGCAGACCATACAGCAAACAGGCGTGTCGGGTGCAGCAGCAGCAACCCAACCCGACCCGTCTCCTTTTTTCTCGCTTCATTCCTCCCAACCTACCAACAGCAACTATGAGCACAGCGATCGCAATGGCTCCCTCTCCGGCCCCTCACGACAGACCGTCGTTCCCTTCCGACCTCGCTCCCGCGTCTTCCGCACAGCACGGCGCTTCTTCGCCTGCACAACAAAGACCTCTTGCACCAACTGGAACTCCCAATGCGACGGCGCATCGGTCAGGCAGCGGCAGCCCTAGGGGTGCCGCCCAAGCTCCCAAGTCATCTCCTCCCAGCGCGTAAGTTGCATCTCCACGTCCATCCTATCACCTCGCAACCGCAGTCAATTGACTCTATCTTCCCTTCCAGCGCGAGACATGCCAGCGGTGCACCAAAGATCGTCGTGAAAAAAGAACCCAACTCCCCCGACTTGCCGACGACCCGTCACAGGCCACGCAAACTCGACCTGTCCAACAAGGGGGCACACCCGGGCTCCAACACTCCCGGCACTGCTAGGCCCATGACTGCTAGGGACAACTTGGGCATCCAGGAGGTCGGCCTTGCCTGCCTCTCGCCTGGGTTCGTTACCCAGGACCCCATCATGAAGGAACAGCTCCAGCGCAGCATGAGCGTGAGAGACCAGCAACGCATGATCATCGAGCAGAGAATGCAGCAGCAATCCGCAAAGGGCGATGGCCCTGACACCTCTGGAAAGGACCCTGTTTCTCAGTTCGCAGCAAAGACCCCCGGCCTGTCTCGCAGGAACAAGGCCCAGCTCTCCATCCTGCCGCCCTCAGCCGAGTCTTTTGCCAACGAGCGTGTCATCCAGTCGGCCCCCTTGGGACACTCCTTCACTGGCCGCCAGCATCCTGCACCGCTGTCTCGTCACATTACAAACCAGCCAAACACTCTCTCCAACACTTCTCACATCCACCACGTCCCTGCCAACCAGACAAACAACCGTCTCCCGCCCATCAGTGATGTCTTTGGACAGGTTTCTGGCCACCCCGACAATGCCCCCACCTCTTTGTACCCCCAGACCAGCCGTCCCCCCATGGCATCACCTGGCCACCCCCCTCAGATGCAGCATGGCCCCCCTACTTCCGGACGTGCCAGAGAGTACAAGTCAGCGGAAGAGGCACAGCACGAGATTGCCGGTGGTCGCCCCGAGCTGCTCCCTAAGATCGTACACTACGGAAACGCTCACCAGCCTCCTACGCCTCCGTCTCCTGCCCCGGGAAGCAGAGCCGCTGATCCCAGCCGCAGCGCAAGCAGGCGCCGCACCCGTGCCGAGTACGAGGACGGCAGCCCACCATTGGGCCATGGCCCTCCCCCCCAGCGAAGAGGACCATTCGGCGCCGGTCGGGACAGCCCCGAGAGCCAAAGGCAAAAGCGCGAGGAGTTCATGCAGCTCTGCGCCAGAGCCTGGGACCTTTTCCACTCTTAGAGAGTCTTTTGTCATCTTTGTTCGATTCTTCCACTTCAACGAGTAGGCCAATTGCGTCTCACTCGTAGGTTTCGATTTCCTGCGGGATCCGGCCCCGCCCTTTCGTCGATTCAATCTCGGCCAGCTTGCATGAGTTTGAAGGAGTGTCACGTCCACTGTGACTCTCCTTGCTTCTCTCCTCCAGTCGGAAGAAGAGGAAGTAAAAAATATATATCGCAGCAGGATAGGATTGAAATCAGGGATTAATGTCTGCAACTACGAAGAGCTTCCTCCTCGGCACGTCTCCAACAATGAACGAAACCGATCATTACGAACTTCAGCTTTCTCGAGGGAAAAGCGATGGACTATTTTCGCGCGCGGCTAGGCGGTTACGAGGCGGTTGGCGCTACCGGCTCTGGTTTGCTTCTATTCTCCAAGGGGCAGTCACGGTTTGAGGAAGAATTTTACGTTCGATTCTTGCACTGGAAGCTTAAGATGTGCGCCAGGGGGCGTTTATTTGCTTTGTCATTTTTATGTGGTTATTACCGGTGTTTACGGGAAAATGACGGGTTGGCACGAGATTCATGAGCAGAGAAGAGGGTGCAGATTCCTCTCTGTATGTATTATCTTGGGGTCGTCTGCTACGGGGAAAGAATGGTGGTCGAGGGATATATCCTCGGCGCGTATCTCTTTTGTGTTTTATGCTTCCTGCTTCTCACCTCGGGAGCCACCAACCTGTGCGCTATTTTTGTCGCATTGGTATTAAGTATATCGGAGCAAGAGGTACTGAAGATTCGACACGCATATACAAGGGGCCTTGAGGCTTTCATTCTAGTTCAAGATCAAATCGTTCACTCGTGTGTGATGTGACATGTGTGATGTGATAGGATGCAATGTGACGTGAATTGTGACCGGACAGATCAGGAGGTGGATGTGAAGGGGCAGCACTATCAAGATGACGAGATGTGAGCACAGCTTTTTCACGACATGGAAGGAGGGAAAGCCAGGAGTTATAACTCTGGCAGAAGAACACATGAGACATACAGAAAATAAATTTCATGGGAGTAAGGCAACAACGAAAGATTTGGAACCGGCGACGAAGACATTCACGCATCTCCATTACAAAGAGTCCGGGGCCATTCAGAGGCAGAGCGGCATCCCGGCCGGAAGACGAGCAACAGGGGCTCGACCTTCGACACATGAATAGACCCGGCGAGCCGAGTTCTAGTGCGTAGAGCCGAGCACCCGGAACATGTCTGTATGGTCTCCACAGCCCCCGTCTCCCATCCCTGCCGGCGCCATGCCGGGTGTCGGCGTGGCCCCCCTCCCGGAGCCGGAACCGGGACCCAGGAACGGTGTGGGTCGTTCTGCTATCGGACCCGCCGGCCCCTCCGCGCACGTGGAAGCCTTCGAGAAGACCTGGCTTTCACGGGGTGCGGTCCAGTCTTTCCGGATGCGGTACAGGGCGGTGCACTAGAAGGTCTACCCGCTTGGGAACTACCTTCGTGCCCCGTTCCGGTGGTCGTTACGGTGGGGAGGAGAAGGGGGGGCCCAAGTATGGCTCCGGCGGTATCCGCGAGCCGGATCCGGCGCCGTGGGGTTCTTTGTACTTCCTTTGTCGTGTTGGGGGCCACGGGGGGGGCTTTTGGGATGGTAGTACCGTAGGTGGTGTAGAGCAGGGCCAGCTGAGTCCCAGGAGCTTCGAGGGAGTGGCTTCCAAGTAGCGCTGGCGGCTAGTCTAGAAACTAGGATTCTCTGCCTACTAGGTCGTTCTCTTTCGAAGAAGAAAGACTGGGCGGGGGGAGGGAAGAGCAAAGAGCTCGCTTTGCTGACCGCCGAATCTGGGTAGAGGGTGCTATACTATACGCCACGCGGGCGAGTGGAATGGGACTTTGTTTCCCTCAGATCTTTGATGTGGAGGGGGGAGGGATCGGTCGATGACGCTGGTCGAGTCTATCGAGATTCTGAGTCTACCCAACTTCGGAATGAGGGGGAGGGGGGGTAGCGACGGTGCATACGGCGTTAGCCAGCTTACCTACTACGCTATCCATTACCCTATACCTACCTTACCATACTTTGCCTGGTCGTTACCTTCCTTACCTAGTCTCCAAGTTCCCCGCCGCAGGACGGAGGCGGACAACGCTGTCTGAGATCTTGGACAGATCTTCTGGTGCGGTTGACCACGGGGTGGGTGGCCGGCCAGTCCACGGGATCAAGAGAGACTACACAACAAACCGTACGTTCTGGCCTAGGGTATGAGTCAACTTTATCCCGTGGAGGAGGAGGCTCTGTCGTGGAGGGGTAGGGTTTTGCTTTGAGAAGAAAGAGGCGGTGTATGGGTTTGGTCATTCCTGTCAGCCAGGACAGCCCATCAATCTGCTTTTCAATCCGAGTCCGTCTGTCAGTCTGCCAGTCAATTCTCCCATGGAACGTAAGAGAAGTGCGGGTGTTGCTGCGTCGGCTTTTCCCCTCTCCGTTGAGGCTCTGGGCTAGGGAAAGCTCAAGGGCCTAAATGTGCCTTTGGTGAGTGAGTGCGAGTCGGGTCGTCTCGTGCTCTAGGTCCGCGTGCCCAGGCCAGGCGAGTGCAGTCCAGTCTTACCCCGGTGTCGAATCCGGGAAGCCTACCTCGCGCTGACCGCTCCCAACAGGGCAAATGAACAAACCTCCAGTGCTGTAAAGGCGGACTGAGCATGATACTCGCCAAGAAAAGGCAGACTGCAAGAGAATAGACAAGCTATTTCCAAAGGGGGGGGGGGGGGGGTCCAGATGTAGAAACAGTAAGAACTACTTGCTGTGTAATGATGAACCCGCCAAGCAAGACACTTACTTGTCCCCTCGTGGCGAAGACAAAAGCAGAACTTTCCTTCAAACCCAAGATGCAAGAAATAAGGAAGAATCACAAGTTCAAAAAGCGTTTCTCGTCCGCCCTGCTTTCACCAGATCGTCAGATCTTGGCGAGCGAACGAACGGTTCTTGGGCATGTGGCTTAGGCTTTTATCCTCCCGCTAAGAACTTTCGCAGGTCGCACTCGGCAGCGGCCCCCCCTTTCCCTTCTTCTGCCCCCGGAAGTCTCGGTTCGGTACAAGACAAAAGAATACGGACCTCCAGACGGAACCTTACAACACACACCGGCACACAAAAAAAACGTTGGCGCCCGCCCGTTCGGTCCTGTCGGGTTCGTCGAGATAAAGTTATATCCAAGAAAAGGAAGAAGGACAAAAAAAAAAAGCAAACAAGATGACTTCATCGCCGGGGGATGTTCTCCACAGCCCACCGGACACCGCGCGTCCGGCCGCCCGGAAAGGCAGTCCCCAACTTTCCCAGGCAATTCGATGGGGAATTACCTGTGGCGGGGTCCCACTTCTTCCCGGTACTCAGATCTGGCCCGGGCCCCATTCCCAGATCTTGAAGCCGCGGGAATTGTTTACGGGCCCCATGTTTTTTTTGCCCCCATGTTATGTTTGCCCCCAATTCGCCTGTTATTCGTCATCGGCCATCCAGAAAGCTGCAAAGTCATCTGCCAAGCTGTGATGTAGAGAAGTAGAGTTCAGTATAGACAGGAACACACAAGCAATGTGGCTGTAGACCAACTTTATAACTGCGCCCCGGCTCTCTGGTAATGCCCGCCTGTCATCGTAGAAACTGTAACAGGGCACCGCGGCTTTGCGTGTCCCAGTGATGCAATAGATTCGACCTGTGCTTCCGTGGTTCCTACCACGGATCAGCCTGTGCCCAGGACATGGGACAGGTGACCAGGACAGGTCGCAAAGACGGCCAGACCCAAGCAAAATTCATGGCAAAGAGTGGTGAGCACACAGACAAGAGCAGTCACAGAGACGATCACGCCCAAGGATGCCGCTCCTCTTTGCTTTGTTCATTAAATTTTTCTTTCTTTAGGTCTTTGGCTCAGAATACAGCCACTCACTACAGGAGCAGAGCGAGTGGACTAGAGGGTTTGCTGCTGGGAGACCACACGATCAATCCAGAACATTTGATTCTGGCGAATGTGCGGGACACATCGGTTCCATAGCCCGCACACGCATGCAGTCTCCCAAAGACATCGTTCCCAAGACCGATGCATCATGGCCTATGCATCCGGTCCTTACCGATTCCTCCTGGTTCTCAACCATCCCACCGAGCCTCTTCCCCTGAGGCTCAACCAAGTCCATCTTCCGTTTCCAGGTCGTGAGTGCCCTTGCGCATCTTAAATCCGTCGCTCATTATAGCTTCGTTCCATGGGGGCTTGAGGACTGCTGGCCAAGTCAACCCAGAGATGTAGTGGACCTGGCTCTGTAGCGTAATTCTGCCGGTGCCCCGTTCCAAAGACGGGGGTGTCATATGTACGTTGAACAGTAGGTTGTTGTGGTGTAAGCAGCATGGGAGGGTAAAACGCCAAACGCCGATGCTCGCAATAACAGGGTCGCATGGGGGTGTCGTAAAATCGTCAGGTAAACAAGTGTAAAAGGGTGTGAATCGAAGCAGGCTGAAAGAGGGAGTCGAAAGACCGCCGGTTGACGCACGCTGTCTGTGCAGACGCATTGTTCTATCATTGTGCCGGGTTGGAAAGTTCCGGTCATTGCTGTTCCGCCGTTGAAATGAATTGTTGAAAGTCTTGTTGACAATAAAGAAGCTGTCCACCCAAGTAGTTCCAAGACGAAGTCGTTATTCAAAGGCCCTCTTCACCAGCCTTGCAGAGCTTGATCTCGCGTCCCCACTCTGACTTGAGGACCTGGGACGCAGTAATGCGACGGGTGGGATTAGGATCCAAAATGGAATATATCACGTTCCTACAGCGCGCCTAAAGACTGTTAGTTTCTGGACGATACTATAAGCAAATCCGATAGACTTACTCTGTGCAAGGACTCAATCGGTCCGTAGCCCTCCTCGTCGCGGCGACCTTCCAGGTATCTAGCGTAGAATTCGTCCTCGTCTTTGCGGGCAACGCGCCAAAGGTGGCGACCGGTACGCATGGCCATGTAAATGACACCACAGGCCCAGACATCGACAGCGCGGGCGTCGAATTCCTTGTCTGTGTACTCCTCGGGCGCAATGTAGGGAGCAGAGCCACAGAGGCCGGACACCATGTGAGGATCCGTCTCCCAGGCCATTCTGAAGCACTCGCCGTTGCCAAAGTCTGTGATCTTCAAGCCACCACGAGTAGTGAGCAGCAGGTTCTCAGGCTTCAGATCACGGTGGGCAACACCCATCTCGTGGAGGTACTCCACACCACGCATCATCTGCTTGAAGTAGCAATCCGCCTCCTGAACCTCCAACTTGCCGGCTGCGAGGACGAGAGTGTATAAGTCACCACCGGCGCAGAACTCCATGACTTCGCAGTAATCTCCCTTGGCGTCCTTGAGCAAATCCAGAGTGTGGATAACGTTGGGGTGACGCAACGACGAGGAAATGCAAAATTCGGCAGTCAGTCGCTTGCTGTACTTCTTCTCCGTCTCCTCTGGGCGACGGCGGAATTCCTTGACGGCGAAAAGTCTTTCTACTCCATTCTCGACCTTCTTGTGGGATATCCTGACGATTCCAAAGGCACCACGGCCTACAACCTCCTGACATTTTCCGTACTTTTCTACAAGAGTGGTGGTTGCGTTTGGGCCGTTCTTCCTGTCGCCAGCCATATCCTCCTTCTCGGCCTTGAGCGTGTCGACCCAGTTAGAGACGAGCGACAGGTCGTTTTCGGCGTGCTCTTGCTTCTTGCCGATGAGGGTACGCCACATGTCGGAGAGCTTCTCCTGCCTGCGACTTGACTTGAGGTGGTGCTCGTGGCCACCTTGCAAGTCCGGGCTCGCCATGAATCGATGAAGGTCTTTTACGGGAGGTTTTGCGGGTTTGCTGGCTGGTTTCTCGGGGACTTTCTCTGCGGTGGTGGTAGAGGGTTTCCTGCTGGGAGGTTGGGGCTTGTCGCTGCCATTAAAGCTGGAGCCGCGGGGTCGATGGGGGACCTCGATAGCGTTTCGGCTGACGTCTTTGGTCGAGAACATGCGCGTGAGCTTGTCCTTCATGGAGGGTTTCTCGGCAGGTTTCGGCAGGGCCTCGTGGGAGGAATTGCCGTTGGTGAGGGACTGGCCATTTTGCGGGGTCAAACGCGGCGATTTTTTGCCGTCAGACTTGACTGAGGAAGGTTTGGAACTGGCCGCCGAGGCGGTTGTTGGGCTCGCCATAGCGGGGGATGCGGAAGGCATGAGCGCGCAGCAGGTTTGTTTGGTGGGTGAAGGTTCGTTCGGAGGGGCGCTGGTGGTAGAGAGAAAGGGTAGACGGGACGGAGGCGGTATATACGCGAAAGCGAGCGAACCGACGGCGGATGACCTATCGCCTCTTTCTTGGTCTGTCCTTCTTTTTCTTTTCCCCTTGTGTGACTGTTGTCTCTCTTGGTTCCGGCTATCGGTGACGCAGGTAGGCCGCAGATGGGTGTCAGCCGCAAGGGAAGCGTGGGTGCAGTGCAGCTGGCAAGAATGAACAGCTATGCACAGCAGGGCGGGCTGCTGGAGGGGCAGCAGCGGCAGGTTATGCAGAATTGGCTGGTAGTGGTGGTGGGGGTAAAGTCTGCGACTCAAGTAAGTCTTTGGCCTGTCTGGTCTGGTCGAGTCGAGTCGAGTCGAGTTGGGCCGAGTAAGACTCGGGAGTGCCGTCGAGTGTCAAGGCTCGGGTCTGACAAGGGAAAAAAGGGCTCGCTGTGGCGCAAAGAACGCCTCGGCGCAGTGGGAGGGCTCGGGCCCAAGTAGACGTGACTCGCAGGGCGGACAAAATAGCAGACCTGTTTCAACCCCCTTTTCTTTCTAATTTTGTCCCCGTGGTGAAAGGTGGGAGTGAAGGGGGGGGGGGGGGGGGGGGGGGGGGGGGGGTTTCAAAGGTTTAGGGGAGAGGAGGGGGGGGGGGGGGGAAAAAAAAGAAGAAGGAGGGGGGGGGGGGGGGGGGGAGGGGGGAGGGGGGGGGGGGGGGGGGGGGGGGGGGGGGGGGGGGGGGGGGGGGGGGGGTGCTGTAGGTGGTATTCAAAGTTTTAGAGAGAAGAAGTCGGAAGGGAAGGTAATAAGACGAAGAAGATGGGATGGGCGTAGGGATTAGAGGATTATGTAGGTGTGTGTGTGTGAGAGAGAGAGAGGAGAGAGGGACTACAGGAATGGAAACCTGAGCAGAGGCGGTCGGAGCGAGAAAGCGAAAGAAAAAAAAAAGTCTGGCCCCAGCAGGCGACAGCGGCGGCGGGTAGCGGTCTGGTGGCAGACAACGCGTAGGCGGGCGGGCGGCGGGCGAGCGAGCAGTCGATAATACCAAAGAAATTGGGAGGGGACGGAGGTGAGAGGGGGTAAGAAGTGGAAGTCAAGGGGGAGTGGAGGGGAGAGCAAAAAATACAGCGGGACAGGCAGGTTGCGACAGCCGGGCATGTGGTGTTAGTGAATACTGCGTAGGTGGTGGCCTGGTGTAAGTAGAGCAAGGTAGCGTAGGATGTGTAGCGTCTTTTGAGGTAAAGTAGGGTCAAGGTGGGGCCTAACGAGGGAAAGATTGGATTGCCCTGCAGCTCGGTACAGTTGAGGAATTTGAGACCTCAGGGCAGAATGCAGACGGGCTCCGAGTGGACTGGACTGGCGAGGACCACGACTACCCAGGGCCGGAGGTGAGAGTTGAGAGGTGAGGTGAGATGAGTGAGCTGGGAAGTGAAGTATACTTGGTACGGATACCGTGAGCTAAGGTACCTGACCTTACTGAAGCTGTGAAAGCTAAGGTAAGGAAGGTACTAGCCACGGCCTGCAGAAAGCAGATGGGCGGGAAGCAGCAGAATGGAGACTTTTGAGAACTGGAGACTCGAGACCTGGGATCCTCCACTCCCTCCACTGCGCTGGTACTGGTACCGCTCTAGGTACTGGTACTGGCAATCCTGTTAGCTCCAAGCAGGCAATCGGGGTGATTGACAAGTACTGCCAGGTTATTATTGCTGCTTTGCTTTGCGTCGCCGTCGAGTGGGTGGTGTCGCTTTTGCTGAGGGAAAAAAAAAACCAACACAACAGGCCGCGGGCGGCGGGTGGGCGGTGTAAGCGAAGTGAGTGCGTCGGGGCCGGTCGAGAGCTTCCAGGTTCCTACGCCGTAAAAACGTACCGATACAAAGCTACTCAGCACGACTGTACGACGAGCCAGGTACCATGTTCAACACGACTTAGAGGAGCAATAAGCTGTTCCAGGGAGGAGGGCTGGAAAAAGGCTTGTTTTCGTTGTTGTTGCTGTTGCTGTCCTTGCTGGTCAGCAGTCACCGCCTAAACCGAATTTTGATCTGTCAGCAAAATTCCCCCACGACTTGACTGCCCTTTTCCTGTCTTCGCGGCTTGCCTGCTCTGCCTCCCCGTCGTGAAAAGGGTGGCAGGAAAGTCTGGCCTGCTTCCACTTACTACTGCTCGGCACCAGACCAGTCGCGGACTCGTGGTCGGTGTGACTGACTGCCGTGTTGTGGTCCTCGATGGAACAAGGCCGAAATTACACACCTCTTTGGTAATCCAGTCCAGTCCTTAATGTCACTTGTAGCCCGCCTGTAAACTGTGGTACACTGGTACTATGGATTACCAAGAGCAAATGGAAAGGAGAGTGCGAAGGTCCGAATTGCGACAACTGTACGGGCGGCCTAGGCTCTAGCACTTTCGAATTGCCTTGGCCAAGAACTGCGCCAGCCCACTGTACAAGTTGGCAGTTGCCTCGCACATAGACAAGGACTTTCGTCTTCCAGGTTGTCTCCTTGGTTCGGCCCTGATTGTGGTAAAGTTGGTGGAAGATGACTGCAAAGGTGGCGCGTGAACTGCTTTTGGCTTCAAGGTGGTTTATTCGCCGTTCGTGTGGAGAGATGCCTCCTGAACTCGCTTGTAAGCGGCAGTCGGCAATCCCCATCAGTCGCCTTTCTTGTCACCTTTTTGCTACTTAATACTGTAACAGTTTGGAGGGATTCTAACTAGTCTGTCAAGTTTCTCAATTTTGCTCCGAACGGCACCTTGGCCACCCGGCCGTTGCTGTTACGATTTGGTCTAGCCTCCGATGGATCAAGGGGCTACTAATAATCAAGTGAGTGATATCAAGGGCATGACAGAAAAACTTTTCCCACTCGCAAAGTGTGCTCGCAAAGCGTGAGTGTCTGGTAGGTTTATCATTTCGTTTTTTTTTTCCTCTTTTTTTCTAGAATGTGGCGTATTCGTTTCCCATTTCGACGGAGACTACCCGATCCCTCAGTTTGGGTGACCGGGGCAGTGAACAGGGGCAGGGCTGAGTTGTTGAGCCAGAGTCTGTCTTTGATGCGAAAGAAAACGCTCAAATATGTACCGAGGCAAGAGACAAAGATACAAAATGGGTTGCTGACAACCAAATAGCTACTTACCCAGACTAACACTAGAAACAGGTACGGATACATCAATGGCAGCCAGTGTTGGTTAGTCCATCTCCATAATAACAGAGAGAGAAAAAAGTCCGTCCATCTGTCACTCGGGTGGGAAACCCACCACAACCACCACCGCCATGCGCAGTGCGGATACAGAGCGGGAAGCAGGCAGGCGACAGATGCAGTAACAATAACGTAGCTGCATCGGACGGGGTCTCTGATGAGTGGACCAGGCGTGGGCAGAGACACAAAGATAAGGTTAGGTCAGGTTAGGGTACGAGAGGCACAACTTGCAAGAACCCAAGACCTTTGTCTACCTACAAGGTTCAACGAGACTTCGGGATCCTTGACGTGGCTTCCGATGAGGATCCCTCAGGAACGGCGCTTCCGTACATGACCGATGGAAATGGCGGGATCAGGTAAACGACATGCAAGACGCGCAGCCCTGAGGGTCTCTCTGCCATGTCTGCCTCTCTGGCCAAGTCGAGCTCCGTCCACAGTGTCTCGTCTTTGGTGCTGCAAATCGACTAGTTGAGCCACGGAACGGGGTGACGGGGTGACGGGGGCTTCTGCCCACAACATCAGTCCGCCGACTGGACCATTCGGCTGCCGGAAAGCCTATGAATGGAGAACCAGAGTATGCCTTTTTGGTCTGGGGCAAGGTGCAGACCAGGGACGCGCCGGTCAAGGGGTGACTTGTCCTTGACTAACAAACATGCCCGTTTTACCTAGGCTGAACGATTTATTACTCTTGGGTTTGTCAGTCTTGTGTATAGGTATCCGCTTTGTGGTCAAGACGTTGCTTGGCTGGCTCCGGTACGTCGTCTTCGAATTCAATAACCATCTCGGCCATCTCCAGAGCGCGATTGTAGTTGTGCATTGGCCAGGCTCAGGTACGGAATACGTGAGGTGCTTTGTATTAGACACAGCGGAACGCCCGCGTCTGGCGCTCACTCATTGCCCGCGGCCACCTCGTAGCAAAGACCCGCGGCCTGCGGTGGTGACCGTCTTCGATAACCCGCAGCTTGCGAGAGAAGAGCCTGACATAAGCAACAGTGTCTGCTGACAGCGCTGCAAAACTTAGATACTCCGTACTTTGAACCAAAATTGGACGAAGCCCTACGGCCCCTGCCAGCTGCCAGGAGCTTGCTGCAGCGGATGGAGTCGGCTTGTGGCGATGGTCGTCGTGTCATTACGTAGAAAGGCACCGATCATTCCTCCAAGCAGGCCCTTCGCCTGGCTCGAGGGCGGCATTGCCAGCGAGGCAGCTTATCAATTTCCGATTGAAGAGAAGGCAAGCGCAAAGATGCCGTGCCAGTTGGCATAATTGTCCCTGGCGTGCGTGCGTACCTTGGTGCGGGCTTGCGAGGTAAGGTCAACAGCTGGAGGAGCCGTCTGCCGTGGACGCCGGCTTAGCGGCCGTCGCGACTCAATGACCACATTGTCTGGGATGTTGTGTGTAGTGCCTAGCGCGAATCCGTAGTGTAGGGGCACATGTGTCAAAGGGCATGGAAAGTCAAGCTTCCCGGATTTTGCTGTGCGGTTTGATCGATGACATGGAAGGCAGGGCGGTGCCGTGCAGGAAGTTCAGCCCTTGTGTGGTCGAATCGGGACCCGCCAAGACGACATCTGCAAAGAGAAAAGCGGCTTTGCGAACGGCAGTGGACAGGGCATGGCTGGCTGCGTCCTGGCGCGAGGGAATGTGAGATTCAAGATGCGACTGCGGGCCAAAGCCGGAGGGGCATCGGCGAGTGAGCACCCACACAGCATCTTTCTGAGCCCTGTTGGTGCACTTTGGAGGGGTTCGCTTCGCAG